ACAGAAATCTTCTGTACTGTTTCTCCAGCCCGAGTTTCCATCTTCTGTAAAGTAATAAATAATTTGGAATGAGTGGTCACTGGACTATGCAATGTATCCCAGACTATGGGCCTCTGTTATGTCGCTGGTCGTAGAGCCGATACATAGGACTAAGTTTAATCACCTCTGATCGTAGAGCCGCAACTGAGGTCTTCTCAAGCTGTATGTTGTCGCAGAGACCTTCTCCCCAGGACCAAATGCTTCGCATCGTAGAACAGAGGAAGACAATAGTTGAAAGGCACCTATCTTTCGGGAGGCAGCAGCATCTTTTAAGAGCCACACCTTTCGACGTTAGTTAGGTCACACCAGCAGTGACCTAACTAGGCCACCCGTCTGGTGTGACCTAGGCAGTCCGAGCGACGTGCACGCCGGGAAGGGATGTCGGAGTAATGTGACTGTTGTCCCCGCTCGAATGACTTGTATGTGAAAAAAAAAACAGTCATTTAAGTGGCGTATAGCTATTTCGTCATCTTTTCATATAGTCATATTCATCCTCTTATTTGTTTTCGGGTGTATTCAACTTAATTTATGTTCAGCGGATCTGACAAATAACAACAGAAGAAAAACATTGCTAAGGTAATTGGCAAATGAGTGACTGTTAATACTTTTAAGTGACTATTAAAGTACACCAAAAATAAAATAAGAATAAAAACATTTCTGGGAGAAAGTGGGCTTTAACTATCACCCCTTTAAATAATTCGACTGCGTCTTATTGAATTTTGTCTGCTAAAAATGTATTATTAAGAGACTCCGCTGAGGTACATATTTTGACACGACGGGATTGAAAATATTTTCTCCTGACCTGGGTTCCAATTGATGTTTTGACCAACAACTTGTGTGCAAATTTTCAGCCCATTTCGTCACCCAGTTTTTTTTTTTTCAAAATGATCATTTTTATTGCGAAAATAACCGAAATATGAAAAGCGCTGCAACGCTTTGGTGAAAAATATGTTGGACGTTTTGCCACCTTTTTTTATACCACCCTGCAAAATATTTTCGATTGCGTTCAAACGAATATTTTCTGCTGCAAATGTGTTACTATTCAGCTAATATTTGTATTTAAGTTAAGTAAATCTGATAGATTAACATAATTACGTTCATCTCGAACGTTCGATGCTTTCCCGCGCTTTTTTTGTATCAAGTTCACCTCGAAAATTGGTTGCTTCGCCTGATTGTTTGATATCGCTCTACTGGATATATTCAAGTGCTTCTAACTAAGCATGTTCTGCTGAAAATGTGAAACTGTCAATCTTCTCTTCATATTAAGTGACACGTAACTAATATGCCAAGGAAAATGCCTTTTTTTTCTTTTCGAATTTTGTTATGATTTGTCAATTCTTATTTAATTGACTGATTGACTGTCATACTTATCATCTATAAAAGCTGTTCTTGACCATGTCAAAGTTCTACTTTAGAGTAGTTTTGATTTTATCAGAATCGATCAATAAAACGATCCTACCATCAAAATTTAATATTGAGGTTGGTTTTTTGACATGACGGAACTGGAAATATTTTTTGGGGATTGACCTTCCATTTGATGAAGATCTATGTACAAGTAAGTAAAATGTGTGCAAAATTTCAGATCATTTGCACACTCCGTTTTTCCAGGATAATTATTCCAATTGTGAAAAATGACACAAAATTGGAAAGCGTTGCAATGCTTTTCACTCAAAGCTCTAAAAGTAGCTTAAAACTACGAATTCCAATATTTTTTTTGGAGAATATTTCTTAAGCATCTTTTCCATATCTTTCTATTTGTAATGATTCTGTATTTTGGGCTTTTGAACCTCAGTGGAGTTCCTTTGAGGTGTTTTCGTCAAACCCATACTGAGCAATTTCTGCCGCGTCAGCCTGAACATTTTTTTTAGCTGAAAACATGTCAGTACCATAAATCAAGGGTTTACGAAAAATGCGGACGATATGTCCAATTTACGATGTGAAAATGTTTTTAAACTTTTTTGGCCAGCATCACTCGAAAACACGATAAGATCAATAGTTACACATTTTCAGAAGAACGTGTTCAGTTTAGCATACTGCATGGAAAATACATAGTCAGTTGTACAGTACAGGGGTTTGACCAGTTGTTCAAAACTTGATTGAAATCATCAGGGACTGCTTGATTTTGATAGGAGATATTTATGTTTTAAATAGGTAAAGTAACTTCATTGGTTGGTAACAATGTACAATTTTAAGTTTTGTTTATAAAGTAAAAAAAGGATATAAAGTAAAAAAAAAGGATCTTATATAGATAAAATACGTTCTGAAATGGCCAAAGACCGCACCGGAAACGTTTTAGAAACAAAATCATTCCCTGGAATCATGACCCATGACCACCTAAGAGCCTTTGATTTGATCTGGTTTTGTCTATATACAACACTCCCTGGTTTCAGATACATTGGTGTTAAAAGCTTTTATTTGCAAAGAACTGCATATATACATTTATATTACATAATCATACATAAAATCAGGCGTCCGCATAAAATGGGACGTCCGAGACGAGTGGTTATGGTCGTTGCCTAAAAACCATTGGACCATAACTGCTGTGTGTTCGAATCCCGCGAGGGACTTTGGATTCTTTCATTTGAGGATGTTATCCAGCTAGCTTACACTACATCGGTGGTTCTTCTTCTGCACCTGAGGTCTTATCCCAACAGTAAAGCTGGAAAGTCTCCATATATAACCTTTACAGTGTTAGTAATCTCAAACAAACAAACAAACAAACTCAAACGCCGCACGAAATAATTAGATTCTGTTTGAAAGACCCTAGTATATAGAAGATAAGCTCATTCCATTCCAGGTAGACTTTTAAGTCTTATACCTAAGTGTATACTGGTGCCTCATATTTTCATGGTACCCATAATTCCAAGGTATAAGGCATAAACAGTTACAAGTGCCTCCTAGACCTCTTGCACCTGTCAGTAGTTTTACTTTTACTTTTTTTATTGTATTTTTCATTGAAATGCTACATAATTATACCGCAGTCTGTGCGAAAGTTTGTCGGTCCTCGGACCTCGCCAACTAAAAATAAGGAGGGCCGAGTAAAGTTTCGATACAGTCAGTCGCCATGTCCGAATAAAATTTCAGCCAGTTTGAAACAATTTTTGGCCTTCTAAAATATGCAAAGCTTACAAGATCGATCTTTTTTTTTCATTTTTGCTTTTATTCACAGACCCAGATAACCAAAATCACCGCAGGATACGACCAGTTTTTTCTAAGTAATGTAAGCCACCATCTTGTCTTGGATAATTTCCTATTAAAACATATTTTTTCTCCAATATTCAAAATTAAACCTTTGAAAGATGTATTGTTTTCTTGTGAATATTATGCTTTTGTTTTGTTTATTATGTTTCTGTATATCTTTTTCATAGTATCTTATTGTTGAGTCTGATAATTCATATTTGCTAAATATTTTTGTTTATAATTATGGCAATATCCCTCCCCCACCCCTACAAAAAATACCTTTCAGAGTCCGGGCCGGGAAAAAATCATCAGGGCCGGAAATAAATCTAAGCGGCTGGATTTTTTTTTGACTTTCGCATTGACTGTTATACGACTGAGAAAATATATTATTTTATTCAGATTAAGAGAAAAATAAATTGTTTCTCCATTTTACTCTAAGGTTTTAGTTCTCATACCTTTTAAGACAATTGTCTTCGTTAAACAACAATTGAGATATTTGATAAATGCCATAGAGAATATACCCACTTTCACACAGTGCTGGGTAGATGTACTAAAAAATAAAGATTAGGCCTACTTTGAAACTCTTAAAATGTAATTGCCTTAGAATTATGAGAACACAACTTTACTCACTAGGCACCAGATAGGTGTTAATTGCCATGTTGTCTACATAATTGTTTACATGTTTGCAAACATTAAATGGAATAACTATCGATGTGATTGATATGTCTCTGCTACAATATTCAACATATTTTCCCGAAATTTATTCTTCTAACTTTTGTTGTCTGTGTTGAACAGTTGAGTACCACAGAAATATGAGGCACTGGTAAACATGTAACAAGAAAAGGCAATAGGCATACTTTGAGTACATTGGAGTACGAATACCTAGTCCTGATGATTTTCCTGCTGTACATAGCAATATAGGGGTCAGTTAGAGCCTAGAAATAAAGATAAAGAATTATCCATATCTTTTAATCAATATTTGCTGTGTGACAGGATGTTAAAAGTCTGATTTTAGACTTATAACATAAATTTCGTTTTAACCTAGTCGCTAGACTATATATTCACGTAAGATTTTGCTCTCAATGGTTGATTAGATGGATGAAAGAGACGACAACGATATCAATAATTTTCAAAGATTTTACCAAACCATAATGGAGGGAGGTGTACTTCCGCATTTATAAATTTTTCAGATTTTTTTTGATTTTAGTCCCTTATTGGATCTATATTATTCAGAAAAGAACTAAGATATGAAGTTTGATTGACGATTCACTGCAACAAACAAAATGAAGTACACACTTGACTTTAAAGAGTGCCTAAAGGACTCGCCAAAGTTCAGGTAAATTTGTAACACTTTCAGTTAATTGATTTAGAGATTGTGATTTTAATTGTTAAATATCTATTTTAAAATAAATGTACATTTTATTATAGTATCGAGAAAAAAATGATTGAAGAATGCTCACGACACTAAAAAAGATATTGTAATTATCTTTTTGCCATCAAAATGATTTTATTATGATCAAGGTTATTTGTAGTTCTGGCTTCCATAACTTTATATGTCGCTTTTATTTTGACGTTGTGACAGTAAAGTTATGGGTCAACCCTATTTGCAAAGGCTACCAGAATTTGACAGTTCGTGTGCCGTACATAAAAACCTATTAAAATCACCCTTATTAATCAAATTTGGGTCAAATAAAAATATGCATTTGATAAACAAATCAATTTTGAACCAAGTCATGTTTTGTTTTTAAATGAAACTTCAATGACATTGTATACCCAACTATTTTTTAGAGAAATATGTAGAGAATGTACCAATATGGAGTCTGCTTTCAAATGAGATCTCGCGGGACTTCATGTTTTGGAAATTCTAGCATCTATTTTTAGTAACGGACCATACACTATTTTTAGTAAGTGTATGATTTTATATAAAAACAAACAAATAATTCATGAACCATCACTTAAAACAATATAAATCCAACATGTTCAGGGTTCTCGGGGACGCTTATTTCGGCGTCCCGGTACGCATGTTTATTACAGCTGGACGCAAATATTTCAGAGCAAGGATTCCACGTACGCTTAATTTTGCCTGAGGACGCATAAACATTACCGACAAATACACAAATGCGTCAGCGCGTGTCAGTCTACAGGTAGGCGGTCCTATGCACATCGACCCGTGAAGCGATTAGCCAATCAGCGATAACGCTTCCGATCATTATCGCGCAATAGTGATCAAACTAATGTATACACGCTTGTACAGTACATGTAATTACCAGATAAAACACGAGGTGATAATTTTATATCTTTGATCAACAATTGATTGGAAACAAGTGTTGGAAATTAGCAAATTTTACCGACAAAAGGATAAAATTATCGACTATTTACGCTGCAAGTTTATAGACTGTTTTCTCAAATTACAAATGAGTGTAATTTTGAATGATTGTCGAATATTTTCGGCATTTTCTAGGCACAATTTTGCTTTAGTTTCATTCTTGCAAAAACTTTCTATATGAGTATTAAGATATTATGCCGAAATGCCAGGACAACAAACCAAAATACACATACGCTTTTCTTTGATATTTAGATTCTATCCGAAAATTGATCTCGAACATCGGTGATTTCACGTTCGCCAGAAACCCTAAAATTTCGCAAAAATTCTCGGTTTCCTAGCCAAACATGCGAATGAATTGTTCCTTTATTATTTAATCTACATTAAATCTATAAATATCGATCTTCTTTTGCCGCCTTTTGAAGATATTTGCTAAAAAAATTGTCGATCGGATGAATCTCTTACACACTGTGTGAAGCTGTACACGATTTTCCTATTCATTCCGCTAAACGCTGCCTATGTATATTTACGTTTTTTTTTACAAATATTTAGAGTGGACTTACTTAACCAGAATAAAATTTGATTTGGTATATAAGTGAAAAAAAAAAACAAACAAAAAACGATTTCCATGTGTTGATGCATTATAATGAAATAATTTAACATATTAACTTTAACATATTAACAACAAAACAAAAATTATACTATGTAGTTCAGAGTTTCTTTTGAATAACTATAAACTTTGGAAGTCTCTTGAAGATTCAAAATCAGCAATGCTATTGTGAGCATTGAATGACTAATCTGTAAACATATTAATTGCGACACGCTTATGGACTCCAACTTTTTCAGGGTTGGGAGTCCATGGACTCCATGTTTTAAAGTCCTAGTGAGAACCCTGATGTTTTTGGTACAATGTCTGTTATTGAATAAATACACCGTTATTCATACATGTAATTGCAAAGCCATGTTTTTAATTAAAAATAGCATTTGGGTCATGTATCACCAAATGTCATGCAAAGGTATCCGAACCTAAATTCTCGCTGGTCACGTGATAATTAGGGCAGCAATAACGGCGAATTTTATGAAATGTGAACCCGCTGATAAACTTTGAGGCAATATTTCATCAATCTAACATTCTGTGTTCAAAAATATAGACTGAAGGGTCCCAAATATATCTAACTTCCTGTATTAAAATAGCTTTTGTCCAGATCACGCAAATTTATTGAATTACAGCATGATATAGGAATGTCACGGTTCTGGTTGACTTTCGATACGGGGTTGGCTTCAGCGAACAGGTCTAGCAATACTATAAAACCTGTTCGTTGAAGTATCTTTAGCTAGGTTATTTGTATTACATGTATGATGTTATGATTTACGAAGTGTACAATGATATGTAATAATTGTAGCATTTTTATACTTTCAGGTCGTCTCTTGAAAGTGCTGAAAGTGATGTTGAAAATTTAGAGGCAAAACTTGACAGGGTAAATATTAATATTTAATATGAAATTAAGCAAAGCCTTATAATAGATGGGGAAGTCATTCATTTTTCCGTTTTAAAAGTGTCATTGACTCATTCAGTATTTCATGCACCACTTCCATTTTTACTTGGCACACACGCTTACCCTGTTTTAATACACTGTTAAAGGCCTACGTATCATGAGTCATGTGCGGCAAGCCTACATGTATACACACTGCAGACGATATTTGTACCGCATTTGTTCAATGATTAGTAAAAGGCAATAATGTAGTCAATTATTTGCAATTTTAAAAACATTTTCACCAAATATGAACATGTACATATAATTTTTAAGATATATTTCTATGGATGATGTTCAGACATTTACATGTATAAGGAATTTCATAATTTCAATCTATATAAATTAAAATAACAATTTCAGTTATAATACATTTATCCCCAAATGCCATAGGCCAAAATAAGGCTCCATTCCCAATCCAAAACAGTCTTTTTTTCCCCCAATTTCCAAAAAAATCTCAACAGCATCACAAATGATTGAACTGTTTCAACTTTGATTCTTTCATTTATTTCAGGTTGTCAGATTATGTACAACTATGGTTGAAGCTGGGAAATCATTCAATAATGCTGGATGGTATAGTTATAAATTTACATCTTTTATCATTAGTTCCAAGTTTGAACTTATTTGGATATGTGATGATTCATTAAAAAGAAACTAAAAAAAACAAAAAACAAAAAAACACACACACAAAATAAAACAACCCAAAAAAACATTTATGCACACAAAAATTATTTTAGGTGCATATATATGTTCAAAAGAGGGGGAAAAGCTCTCAAAGACAGCTTTGTAGATAGAACAATTTTCCTTCTTTTATACAGCTGTAGAAAAATATAATGCCCTTTATTATACATTTCAAGCAGATTAAATAAACTTCATTACATGAAAGTGACTATATATAATGAAATTAAAACTTGCTTCTTTCTTTAAACATCTTTCTTTACTGATTAAAACAACCATCACATATAAAATACATGACCCTGTGATTATAATTATAAAAAAATCTTTGAAACATAATTATGCAGGTAAGAAATTGAATTCCAATTACAAATTGATCTCAAAAGCTTTTATTCAAATGTATTAATTGAAAATGTGGTTTTGCATTAATTGTTGTTCACTTATTTCATTTACACTTTGCTGGTATTTGTACTTGTATTTTAGTTTAGATTTAAATTGAATCCTATATTATAATCTTTATGCACTGTAAGTCAGCTTTTGTCATATCAGTGGGTTTTCTCACTTAAACTTGGAAGAGGCCTTAGCCCTTTTTGGGAAAAATTATCACTAAATTGCTAATTTGGGAAGTAAAAAAAGCTGACCAGTGTAGGTTTTTTTGGGAAAACTGCATAATTTTAAAGAAAACTTAAGAAGAAGAGACCCTTAATAGGCCTCTGTTATATAAAGTGAAAAATAACTGGCCTTTTCTACACAAAGCTATGCATTTCTTAATTAAAAGTCAAACAAACCAACTTGTAGCCTTCTCCTTTGGTTCATTTATAGATATCAATGTTTTGACTTGTTTGATTTCAGTGGGTTTTTGACGGGAGTGAAAGACCTGGCGGCATACTTCCATGAGGACACAATGGTCTCTGTAAGTGTTAAGTTTACATAGAAATCTTTTAAGCCATAAGAAGAATCCCAACTTTTAGTAAAAGCTTATCTGTCCAACCGGCTTAGTTATCACATTACTCTGAAAGCTATTTACGCACTTTGTAACTGGAGCTTTTAAATTGACATTTGACTTGATGTAGGTTGATACTCAAAGATCAAAATTTTACTACATCCAAGATTTAGAAGATATTTGGTACATTTGTATGCACACATGTAGACATATCAGCTTTTCCTTTTGCAGTATTATTTATAAAAATAAATAAACAGAGTTAAATTTGCGAAGATATTTCAGAATCATCGTTGTAGTTTCAGGCTATTCAAATTTGTAACCCTTAATCTGGAACAATGAGTTGTAAAGTAGCACAAATATTATAATATTAAATAAGGAGTAACAGTTTACATTGCATAGACATATTGCTTGATGGTCAACTGGGTTAAAGTCAATGTGGTTAAACATTTAACATTTAACCTTTAAATTTTTTAAATAATGCTGAAAGTTGTTCAAAATACAGGCCATGAAAAGTACAAAAAGGAATGCTCTTTCTTTTACAATTAGCCCATAACTTGTTGAATATCCTGAATGAATTTGTCCCGGCAAATTTCATTTTAAAAGAGTCCATTATCAATACTAGGGATGCCACCTTGTACATTTTTTGGTCAACTAACTGTATATAAACCAAAACTGATCAGGAAGCTGGAACTGTATAATTGTGTGGCTCTAAGACAAAGACAAAGCCTTTTCCAATTTTGTTTTCAGCTTTGTTAGGGATAAAACCCACAAATTCAAACCTTAAATTCTATTGTTACATATCAGTAATTTCACTGTTACATTTAATGCAGTGTACATGTATGATTTTTACATCTACAGTTATAATAATAAATTTCCACTTTCAACTGCTACTTTTTAAGGCCAAATGCTAGTATTCAGGCCAAATGCTAGTATTCAGGCCAGGGAAGTCTCTGATTTATATTTTCTTGCCTGAGAAAAAAAATTTGCATCATGACTGGATTGAGTGATTAGGTATTCCATATTTGTTTAAGATCATCAATTTAGGATAATATATATGTATACCATCATAGACATCTAGTAAAAGTATTTCATCATTAAAGCCACACACCTCCAGAATCCAGATTGCTGATAAATAAAAGTAGTCTAAAGAAAGTGCCATCCATAAAAATGATCTTTATACATGTACATGTATATAGATAATGTTATAAATGTATATGCAAAATATGCAAAAATACATGTATGTTATTATCACAGGGTAGCTACATGTACATGTACATTCTGTATATGGTGATTAAGTCATTGTAAATTCTCTCTATTTTATTTTTACAGTTTTTGTTATTATAAAAGATGTTATAATATCTATGACTTCAGTGATTTTCCTACTTCTATATCAGACTCCGAAAAAAGGCCTCTTCCCAATTGAAATTTTCTTTAAAATCATGCAGTTTTCCCAAAAATCTCAACTTAAAGCAGCTTTTTTTATTTCCCAAATCAGTAATTTTATCGACAATTTTTCCCAAAATCAAGAGGCCAAGGCCTCTTCCCAATTAAGGGAGAAAAATCGCTTGACTTGTAGTAAAAAAATGGAACCCTGTAATTAGTCTTAAATTTTCCATAATTCAATTGAGAGACCACTTTATTAAGAGACCACTTTTGGACAGTCCCTTCAGTGGTCTCTTAATACAATGTCGACTATATAAGCAGGTCACTTGGAGGTGTGTGTCTTTAAAATATCATGTTCAAATGTACCATTTGATAAATATTAGTGATAAATATTGTTACTTTATTTAAGGATAATCAAAAAGTCTCTGTAAGTAAGATGTATGATAATATGTCGTGAATTTGACATGGTATATTTGTGAATCTGTGCGCTTAATTGATGACAATCATGTAAACTATTTGATAACTCGGCCAATATTGAGGTCATTATATTGCAATGATGTAACAAAAATTTGTTTGGCTTGGGTTTTAGTAATTAACTCATTCATAATTACCAAACTTTCCTACATAAATTCATGTGTTTGGGGTTAATCATTTTCTAATTTGAGAGTGTTTCAATAAGCTTGTAGCTTCCGACATAATCAAAGTAAAATAAATTAGTATAAACTAATTAATCTTATTCAAGTTATGGCTACATGTATCTTATTTACTCCTCCCACACAGGGAGTTGTAATCAGAAAACTGGAATTGGCATGTCTGTCTGTCCTGCCCGTTGGTTTTTCTTTGCCCGGAGCAAAACTTAAAAAACTATCAAAGCACGGGGGAGGAAGCGTTACACGAAGGATGGAGTTCTTATGATAACTTGTTTGGAGTTCTTATGATAACTGTCACGGAGTTCCTGGGAAACGTTACGGATTTCTGTGGAAAACTTTTCTATATACTTGGAGAACTCGCGTAAATAATGGTTATTTTAAACCAAATTTTTGTGCAAATGATAAGCGTATTATGCTTCATAATGCATTACACACTTATTGACTAATAAAATACGCTTAAACGTGCCGTAATTAAGCACAAAAACATACTGGCAGTAACAAAAGTTATCATAAGAACTCCAGGACATATTTTGAGTTATCGCAAGACCTCCGTAACATTTGAAAAATCGGGTATAAATTTATTAGCCTTGGCTTTATGTTTGCAACTCTCCATAATAATTAGATGATTATGTATAGCAACGAAGAAGATCACAAATGAAAAGGTCAATATGTACGAATTAGCAAGTAATTTGGTAATTTTTCTCAAAACTACCAGATTTTTTTAAAAAAGGCGACGAAATATGGACTAAAATATTTTTTCTGAAACAAAATACAATATGTAGGGCAGGCTTAATTATCAAAGTTAAATTTAGCACCTCAAACTCCCCATTTAAAGTTAAAAATAACCATTATTTACGCGAGTTCTCCAAGTATATAGAAAAGTTTTCCACAGAAATCCGTAACGTTTTCCTGGAACTCCGTGACAGTTATCATAAGAACTCAAACAAGTTATCATAAGAACTCCATCCTTCGTGTAACACTTCCTCCCCCGTGCAAATCAACCTGCAACTTCATAGATGGATAGATCATTTGAGGAGAATTGCATTGCCTTAGTACCATAACAAGCTTAAGCCTTATTTTGGAGATAATGCCCTTGGGAATTTTCATATTTAAGTTTTGTCCTTGGTTAAACTCAATAATTCATCTTGGCATAACATTGTAAGTATTGGTATTAAGTATATAGGTATTAAAGTCAATTTTTTGAATTGATTCAGTGACTGTTATATACAGGTGTATGTAATTATTTTTGGAGCAAAAGAAAACACCAAAAAAGCAGTAGTAAAAATTGACAAAACATACTGTAATAATTTTGTTGCAAATGATCATAAATGTTCCATGTCATCATCACAATACTGACTAAGGCAAAAAAATGTTTGTTTCTCTTCTTCCTGCTGAAAAGAAAGTGTATTCATATATAATTGTGACTGTATACTGAAATAAAAGTTGAATGTTGATGGGGTGGGGGGGGGTGGGGGGCATTAATGTCCTATTGACACTCAGACATACATTATTTCTAGATATTTGTGTTCTTGCAAACATTTTGCAAGTCTAGTTACACTAAATAATGCTTTATAAAGCTGCAAACAACAATAACTGTATACATGTAAGCGTATAAGGTACATTTTATATTTGTGTGTTTTATATGGTTTGAATTATATGAAGTGAACATACATGTAGCAGAAAAAACAAGAATCAAACATTTTTTATGCCTTTTTATACATACATGAGTATTGATAACAAAAATCAGAATGTCCTAATATTGGAATTTGATGCATATTGACACCTTAAGAGCTGCTTGTTTCATTTTATTATTCATTTATTTATTTATTTTAAAACTTTTTTTTTCTTATTTGCATGCTATTTTTTTTAGACTGTTTTGTTTAAGTTTTGATTATTTTTTGTTGATATTTTTAGGGCAGTCTTGCATGTTTATAATTTATTATAATAAAATTTGCATATACAGACTGAGAAAAAGACTCTTGGTGTGTTGATATTAACTAACAATTAAGATTCTGAATTTTTGTAATTTTTTTTATTACCCTGCTTTACTTCAATTTTGGAACATTCCATTCAATTTTAAGGGATTTCAATTAACAAGAACGCTGGCCTGGTGATATTTCAGACTTTGTGTGGTGGGGGTGATTTCAAGTGTTGTGGGATTAAAATTTATTTTCGATCAATTGTCGTAGTGTTTACTGTTACAAATTACTTTCGATCAGTTGTCGTAGTCATAGTGTCGACAAAAATTGTCGTATTCGATCAATTATCATATTCTACAAACTGTCGTATTTGAGGAGCTGTCTTTCGACGAAATGTCATGCACTGGTTATATCCATTCTACCGGTTTCAGCATGTTTATTGTTAAGATATGGGGATGTAGTTGTCATATGTCCATTTTCTATCAATTTTTAGCTCGACTATACAAAGTATATGGAGAGCTGTCCTACTCGCCCCGGCGTCGGCGTCCGCGTCCAGATTTTAGATTAAAGTTTTGGTGCAGTAAAATATTTTTCACTATAACTTTGTCATTTCTTAAGGTATCAACTTCAAACTTCAAATATATGTTCCTTATCATCAACCACATCTTATGTGACAAGGTTCATAACTCTAGCACCAATATTTTCAGATTTATCTCCCCTTGAACTTAGAATTTTTCTTAAAAAATACTATTTTTTACTGTTACTTCTTTATTTCTTAAGGGATCAACCTCATACTTCAAATATATGTACCTTATCATCATCCCCATCTTATGTGACAAGGTTCATAACTCTAGCACCAATATTTTCAGATTTATCTCCCCTTGAACTTAGAATTTTCCTCAAAAAGTACTATTTCTTACTGTTTCTTCTTTATTTCTTAAGGGATCAACCTCATACTTCAAATCGAGGGGTGAAAGCGAAAAGGTTCTAAGTGCATTTTCCAAAATTTTACAGGAGAAGCAAAAAACTGTCTCAAATGTTTGTAAAATAGCAAAAATCCACAACACTTTGATTTTACACATAGAAATGTTTAAGAAACATGTCAATGATAATAAAAATTCTTGGAAAGACTTGACAAACAAGATATTTAATCAAATGTAACTTAGAACTGTTTCGCACTTAAAATTTCTTATATTTTGATTTTTATGTTCAAAGCGAAAAGGTTCCAAGTGACATTTTGATAGAACAAAAGCATGTTTTTTTCTTATTTAATTAATGATTGAGCAACATTTTGTCATTTCTTATTATTCTGTAAGAGATGGAGTATAAATTGCCAGATAGGACTGTTTCGCGTTTACTTTTTATTTTGATTTCATATTTTAGGTGTGAGACATTCTCTTACCCCATTTTCAAGATGATGAAATTTTAAGTTTGACTTTGTTTAAATTAGAAACATAAATTAAGGTCATAATTGGTAGTGTACAAATCTTTTAAAGAACATTATGGACATTAATTACACCTGTTTTAAAAAAAACAAATGCCAATTAATTTGATAAGCATTTTTAGCTGAACTATACAAAGTATATTGAGAGCTGTCCTATTCGCCCCGACATCCGCGTCCAGATTTCAGATTAAAGTTTTGGTGCAGTAAAATACTTAAGGTACAAAAAATGTATTAACTTCAAACTTCAAATATATGTTCCTACGGCCTTCGTGGTCAATTCCTATGCATCAAAACTCCAAACCGGTGTTAAATAGCCAATAAACACCGCTAAGGCCGATATTATTTCTTAATCATTACACACATGTTGTGTGACATGGTACATAACTCTAGCGTTACTACTTCCAGAATTATTCCCCCTTGAAATTTGAATTTATGTTAACAAATGTTATTTTCTTTTTACTATAACTTCTTGTCATATGGATAAGACTTATAAAACGCAAGCTCCTGTATTCCCAGAATTATCCCCATTTAATTTTTGAAATTCACTTGTAAATTGATTTTTTTAGTATTATCTTTGTTGTTATAAATGGTATCTACTCTAGACTTAAGATAAATAATTGTTCTTTGTCATTACTCACATCATGCATGACAAGGTTCATAACTCTAGCTTCTTTTTTCAAGAGTTATTTCCACTTTGAACTTATAATTTTTCTTTAAAAACTTTAAATTCTTTTTGCTCTTATCATTTTTGTTTTTGAAGGGATTGACTTCAGATTTCAAATTGCTGTCTTTCCATTAAAGTAACATTTATTGACAAGATCATTATGTTGTACAAAAATTTAGAACATTTGACTGCTTTCTTGATACTGATACAGAAATATATTTATATCATAATTGATTTTTCTTTCATATTTTCGTCTTCCTTACTGCGTCCAGTATTTGATTAGTCGAGCTTCGCTGTCTCCTGTGACAGCTCTTGTTTTCTTACATTTTCTGTCATATTCTTTAATATTCAAAATAAAACAGTTACATTCATATTCTTTCCTATTTAAAATGGTTACTTTCAATAAGATATTTATTCATGGAAATTCATGTCATTTCATCCATAACTATTTTCTTACAATATGTATAATTATGTATTTATTTTTAAACAACTTTAATATTATAAGCGGCTAAATGAGGTCATCCTTAGCACATAGTTCCATTCTAATAAATGCGCCCAAATGACATTTTAACGCTGTTCATTAATAAAATGCGCTAAAATGACGCAACACATCTGGCATCCCCATGCTTTACGGTTATTTAGAATACTGATTCTAATTTTGATAGGGAAAATCCAATTCAGCCAGTGAATATTATACTTCACCCAGTGAATATGATTTTATAATTTGTTCTGATTACCACTGTTTGAACC